GAGAACGAACAGGTGTGGTAGAGTAGATTAATGAATTTTAGGAATTTTAGGACACATCATCAGTAGTGTACCCCAGAGTCATCAGGTGTTTCGGCCTTTAAACACTATACACCCTCATCTGAGGCGGCCAGCCATAGGTTGATCAAGCCCAGGCTTGTGTCCCATGCCCAAATCAGTTATTTATTTTTAAAGTATTATATTGTATAAAAGCTAATGCAGTGTTTTTTTTTGTTGTTTTTTTTTTTTTTTTGTTTTTTTAGATAAATGCTGTTGTATTTTTAAGAACGCTATTTTTAGCCTTTTTTGCTTTTTACAAAGTTGGATTTTTTATTGTTAACTGTGGTGTGTGTGCACGGGCCACCGCTTGTTAAGCAATGCCATCGGGCCTTCCAGTCCCTCTGTCTGGGAGTGAATCTCCTTTTATTTATTTGTTTATTTGAAAATTGTTCCTAGTAGATGTAGTTATATTTAATTTTTCCAACCACACTGCAAGGCAAAGAACAAACAGGTGAAGAGAGGAGTGCACCGCTAGACTGAGCAGGGCACCCTCAAGGCCTGGCTTGGCCTATGTTTTTCACCTATTCGCTCTCCCCCCCACAACAGCAAGTCAGAGAATGAACAGGTGTGATATAGTAGGTTAATCAATTTTAGGACACATCATCAGTAGTGTACCTCAGAGTCATCGGGTGTTTCGGCCTTTAAACACTATACACCCTCATCCGAGGCGGCCAGCCATAGGTTGATCAAGCCCAGGCTTGTGTCCCATGTTCAATTCAATAATTTATTTTTAAGGTATTTTTATGTCTTATATAATATAAAAGCTAATAATTTTGGGGGGGTTGGTTTTTATGCCTTTGTATTTTTGAGAATGCTATTTTAGCCTTTTCCTTCACAAAAGTTTCTTTATTTTAAATTCTAAACTGCTGTGTTCTGTGGTGTGTGTGCTGATAGAAGACTGGGCACTCATTTAAGATCTGTTTGCCCCAGACCACCTTCCCTGCGTGCTGTCCTAGTGGACCCAGAGAGGCTGAATACTTACCCCTTGCCCAACTGACCCTTCGTTAACACCGCTAGGTTGCCCAGGTCAGCCAGACAAGGTCTGAGAATTTGGGCCTATCCCAGTTAGGGTAGAGAGTTAGGGTAGAGGTTTGGTTTAGGCCCTAGGTTATGTTTGGGGGTTTTAGAGCTAGGGCTAGGGCTGTACTTAGGCTTAAGATCAGGTTCAGGCCCAAGGTAGACTTATGGTTAGGCTTGGGTTAGGGTTAGGCCAGAGGTTTGGTTTAGGCCCTAGGTTCTGTTTGGGGCCTTAGGGTTAGGGCCAATGCTATGCTTAGGCTTAAGGCCATAAGGTTAGGTTTAGGGCTGAGGTTAGGTTTAGGGTTAGGTTAGGTATTAGGGTTTAGGGTTAGGTTTAGGGCTAGGGTTAGGTTTAGGTTAGGGTTAGGGTTAGGGTTAGGGTCAGGGTCAGGGTCAGGGTCAGGGTTAGGGTTAGGGTTAGGGTCAGGGTTAGGGTTAGGGTTAGGGGTTAGGGTTAGGGGTTAGGGTTAGGTTAGGGGAACATACAATGACTTCCCCCATCAACTGTCATCAGACAATTGTGGTTGGATAGGAAGATCAAGGGTAATGCACGGGCCGCCGCTTGTTAAGCAATGCCATCGGGCCTTCCAGTCCCTCTGTCCAGGAGTAAATTTCCTTTTATTTATTAATTTATTGGAAAATTGTTGCAAGTTGACATAGTTGCATTAGGTTTGTATTTATGTTTGATTCTTCCAACTGGATCGCAAGGCAAAGAACAAAGAGGTGAAGAGAGGGATGCGCCACTAGACTGAGCAGGGCACCCTCAAGACCTGGCTTGGCCTATGTTTTTCACCTATTCATTCTCCTTCCCACGACCGCAAGTCAGAGAACGAACAGGTGTGGTAGAGTAGATTAATGAATTTTAGGAATTTTAGGACACATCATCAGTAGTGTACCCCAGAGTCATCAGGTGTTTCGGCCTTTAAACACTATACACCCTCATCTGAGGCGGCCAGCCATAGGTTGATCAAGCCCAGGCTTGTGTCCCATGCCCAAATCAGTTATTTATTTTTAAAGTATTATATTGTATAAAAGCTAATGCAGTGTTTTAGATAAATGCTGTTGTATTTTTAAGAACGCTATTTTTAGCCTTTTTTGCTTTTTACAAAGTTGGATTTTTTATTGTTAACTGTGGTGTGAGTGCACGGGCCACCGCTTGTTAAGCAATGCCATCGGGCCTTCCAGTCCCTCTGTCTGGGAGTGAATCTCCTTTTATTTATTTGTTTATTTGAAAATTGTTCCTAGTAGATGTAGTTATATTTAATTTTTCCAACCGCACTGCAAGGCAAAGAACAAACA